AGTTCACACAGTGCACCATGATGTCATTTGGCTTCCATTAAGCACCAATATAATTGTCAACACAAACACTAACGCCAGCCCTAAAAACGTGTTTCATGGTGAAGTGCCCATTCAGATGTTGTAGACTCAGCAGTGCTGTGCAGTAGAACTTTCTGTGATGATGGAAATGTTCCATTCCTGTGCTTTCGCTTTCCAGTAAGATAGCCACTGGGCACACACAGCTACTGAGCACTTAAAATGTGGCAACAGGTTCTAAGGAACTGAATTTCTATGTATGTAATTTTAATTAATAGCCACATATGACTAGTGGCTACCACATGAGACAGCGCAGATATAGAGTGGCGTTTATCATTCTGTGCCCATGAATCACCTGGGGATCTCGTTAAAACGCAGATTATAATACAGTAAGTCCGGGCCGAGTCTGTGATTGTGCATTTCTAATTAGTTCCATGGGGTTGCTGATGCTTCTGGCCTGGGGACAGTACTTTGAGAAGCATGTATCTAGAGTATATATGCTTATAGTCCTTTGTTTTAGATTATTACCTAAAAGGAAAAACAGAATTTAAAAATTCCCATAGAACTCTAGGATTTTCAGGGGTCCTGGTACCCCAGTATGAGAACCCCGTTCCAGTGTGTTACTGCTACGGCGTACGGAGCAGCGAAGCGCACAGCCAGAGAGCTTTAGTGAGCTTTCCTGAGGGCTTACGTGGGCATGCGTGGGAAGCTGGATTTTCTGTCATGCTTGTCATGTAAGATTAAAAAGAATCTTCTGGTAAAGACACCTATTTCAACTTTCCCACTCTTTTTAAAAAACAATATCATCTTTGTTTCCTACAGGTTTTGCGTGTGAAGCTGTGTGGAAATCTGAAATACTACCAGGCACACCTTTATGGTACAGTGGTGCCACCCGATGGTAAGCCTTCTTATCACTTCTTTGATTCGGATGCTGTTTGCATTCTTCCAAATTAAGTGCGAGTTGTGAATTTTGAACAAAATAGACTTTCTCTTGCACTATCTCCGTCCCACCCTGTCCCCTGGTTGGGTTTAGTTCCTCCCTTTTCTGCTCCCACGATCTCTGCCGTCTTTTGTCAAATTTCCACCCCAGCAAATCAGAGGAGTTGAATACGCGATCATTTCTGCCCTCGAGAACTTAACTCTGCCCGGGAAGGCTTTACGCAGATGATTGTGATACAGTGTGGCACATGCTACGATAAAATGTTACAGGATGGCGGGGAACGTGTAAACCGTAGCATAATGACCGCACTATGCGAGCAACGCAAACTTTACAGGACTTGGGAGGCTTGTGAATTTCATGTTTAAGCATTCCATTTAGAATTCATGTATTTTCATGGTTTTTTCTTATGGTAAAATTTATACATTCCTGTATTATTTTTCTTAACAGAAATAACAGTTAATTATAGACATGGCCTTCCCTTGATAACACTTACTTTGCCATCCAGAAAAGAACGCTGTCAGTTTGTAGTCAAACCAATGTTGTCCACAGTTGGTTCGTTCCTGCAGGACCTACAAAACGAAGATAAGGGCATCAAAACTGCAGCCGTCTTCACAGCAGGTATGTGTATTTCTGTATTTTATAACTTTGCCCCAGGGCTGCTTTCTCTCTTCT